AAATCTTATGTGGAAGCAATAGACTATCACACATGAAATGGCTCTCTTTAAACCTAGTCTGTTTGGGAAGACAAATCACACATGGAAAACAACAACACTCATACGTAAAATACCAAGTTGCAAAAGTTAAAACATCCTGGGATACATATCACACGTGGAACTACTATGCACTCAAGCAAGATTTTGCATGATCAAGAGATATGGATTTGTGAATCATAGATCACATAAGTGTACAAATTGAACTTGGCTTAAGTTGATTTATGACTCAATTTGGCAAGATGTGTTCAAGAGGACTAATGACAAATCACATGTGGTTACCCTCTACTCTCACGTGTGAAATAGTTTTTGACAAAATGCAATGAAATACAACTTGACAAAATTTGGTTGCAGACTAAATGGTTGCTTGCATGATTTAGAACACAAAAGCAATGTCAAGACATCCCATAAACACAAGTGACAAATTACATGTGGATCACTCTCTGATTCTCGCCTAAAACATCAATTAGTATGTTTATAATGCTAAATCCCATGAGTGAGCATGTAGAATCACACATGATTCTATAGTTCATAATGAACTCATCTTCTATGAACTACTACAAGCTAGAATGACATAACTAGCAAGCTTGAACGCATTAAGATGAGTCTTATTGTGCATAAATGAGTTTTATGAGCTAAAGATGATACATTTATCTTAATGATAATGAAATATAATTAAGCTTTCAAAGTTTTTATATTGAATCTAAGAGAATTTAAATGACTTATCCTATAGTTCTTTATCTTCTCTTGATTCTTCATGCTCTTAAAGTTTTATGTTCATCCATGATTCTTTATTTATTTGCATATATATTTCTCTTCTCGTGGCTTTGTAATCATCAAAACATATGATCCAATAAAAAGTAATAAGACTGGGCAAATCATAGCCTATTGAGGAAATAGCAACGTGAATAAAGAAATATGAGCTATAAAAAATTTGAATCTAAACATAATCACGCCACCATAAAGTAAGGCCTCTGCTATGGCCTTTAGGAGATTTATAGAAACACTACTATAAAATATACATTTTACATTTCTCAATTCACTTCACTTTTTGTAAAAGTGACATAAAAAATAAAGACGGTGGCAATTTTATAAATAAATGTTGAATATATAAGATTATTCACGTCCCTTTTTTTTTTAAAAAAAAAGCGAGGTGGTAAGTTATCCACGTTTCTTTTTTAAAAAAATGACATAAAAAATGTTCAAAATTTAATAATTTAAAATAATTTATTTTCTACAATCCACGTCGCTTTTTTAAAAAAAAGGGAATGTGGATTGTAAAAAATAAATTATTTTAAATTATTAAATTCTGGACATTTTTCACCTCATTTTTTTAAAAAAGAGATGTGGATAACTTACCACGTAGCTTTTTTTTAAAAGAGATGCGGATTATAAAAAATAAATTATTCTAAATTATTAAATTCTAGACATTTTTCATGTTGCTTTTTTAAAAAAGGGATGTAAATGACTTACCACGTCGCTTTTAAAAAAAAAGAATGTGGATTATAGAAAATAAATTATTCTAAATTATTAAATTCTAGACATTTTTCATGTTGCTTTTTTAAAAAAGGGATGTAAATGACTTACCACGTCGCTTTTAAAAAAAAAGAATGTGGATTATAGAAAATAAATTATTCTAAATTATTAAATTTTGAACATTTTTCACGTCACTTTTTTAAAAAAGGAATGTGAATTTCAGTCAACTTTTTAAAATTAGATTGAGCTCCTCCCTTGCTCCATCATTCTGTAATTTGAAATCTAACTCCTCTCCCTCTTTCCTTTTAATGGTAGCACGTTTCTCTTCTCCTCCCCATTGCAGATCTCTCCTCTCCTGCACACAACAACTCTCTCTTCTCCTTCCCACTGCATCGAGACCCACAGCATCGAGATCTATGGGCCTACAAATTGAATAAAGACCCAAGGCTAACGTTCAACGGTGAGCATTCAACAAGCAACTCTCTCTTCCCCTCCTCTTTCTCCCATTCGATGAACAGCTTCGAGACCTACGTTCAAGATTCACGGCTTCTCCTCCTATTTCCCCTAAGCTAGCAAGCAATATTTGGTTAGTATCATTTTCACCCACAAACCCTTTTTCTTTGTAGATATTTCTAACCTCTGCTTGAGCATTCTCCATTATCTTTGGTTTTTTCATCAATTTTGGAATAGTTTTATTTTTCTTTTATTTTGCTTTTAGGTCTGTGAAATCTATAGCTAGCTGAAATGATAAAATGAGAATGGTAGATATTTAAATAAATTATTTTAATATTTTTTTAGGATAAACCATGTCCCTTTTTGTGAAAAAAGGATGTGGATTATCCAGAAATTACATCCCTTTTTTACAAAAAGCGACATGGTTTCTCCAAAATTTACGTCCCTCATAAAAGTGACGTAAATAAGTCAACTTTTTATATTGCCCGGAGCTATGTCCCCCATAATAGGGACATGAAATGCCCTAAAAAAGCGACGAAAATATCTTTTTTTGTAGTAGTGAAACTACCTGCCATACCTATCTTTTTGATTTTTTTTCTTTATGTACCACCATTTTTGTCTCCATTAAGTAAACATTGGTTGGTTTATTATTTTGGCACACTTCCTTTAAGTTTTGGACTGCCAAGGAGGTACGCACCCCTTGGCAGTTCCAAGATAGCAATATCATTGAGGCCTGGTGACTATTCTAGGCCAGTCACCTTTGCCTTTATGATTATCTTGACTAGTGGATGGACCTTTAAAAATGAACTAATTTTTTGGAAAATCCACAGATGTACTCACAGGGACATCAACAAGATTATTCCCTTCACTGTAGATATTACCCATTAAATTCTTCTTAGCTTTGCACTTCAATTTTCCTTTCCTCCTTGTACTAAGAATCATCATCATTTCCAGTGTGAAGATAGTTTTGTCACCAAAAAGGTCACGTCTCTTCTTATTCTCTCTAGGAATACTTGGTTCTGAAGGACTTCGTTTGACAAAGGTCATTTGCATAACCATATCAGAAAACACAACCGCTTCACTAAAAGGGACTGTCTCCTTACCTCTTTTTCCCTCTTTTTATGGAGAGCTGACAGTGTAGGCTAGTTAGGTTACATGCTTGGGAGGAGAAGTCACTTCTTCAATTTTATACCTCCTTTACGAACTATTCTTGCACCCCTGCATTTTATCAGTTTCGTGTCCATCATGCTAGGGCCATTGACATCTTCATCACAAAGTTTGCTCTTTAATCTTTCAGCCCAATTAGGATCCACTTCCATATGAGATGTTGTTGGGCCTTAAGAGAAGTGGCTTAAATACAATTATCATCTTCAACTGGATTACTACTACTACCAGCGACACTTACCTCACCTTCCACCCCCTGTTGACTAAGAGTCTGCATTATTGTCAGATTAAGCTTGCCCTTTCATCACAGTGTGGGGAGATCGTACTACAAGATGGTCGTACTGGGCTGCCAAACAGACCCTTCTATCCCCTTTCATGCATTGTACCCTCATGCTTACAAACAGTTGTGCCCTCATGCGCCTGTGGTTGGTGATAATTGCAAGCCCACCAATCTTGATCAACAATGACTATGGCTTCATCCCAATTCTTGACAGAAGCTGTACTAATCCATACCCCCGTACATAGGCTCAAGTGGATTCGTTTATGCCGTACACAACATTCTTCAGAGCAAGCCCTTCGTTTTGTTGAGAATGATTAAATTGCATTAGATGTTGCTATCCAAGAGGTATCTATTCCTACAATTCTATAAAGGGCCTAACTTGTCTGATCACTCAAATAAAAAGTTTATTGTTCGAACTCTAATGTTTGATTGTTATCTCTTGACACCTATATTTTAAAAGTAAGACTTGTTAACAATAAGACTCTCCTACAATTCTTTTAGTACATAAAGATTGATTCTTAGTTTCTTACCACTCAAGTAAGTGTAGAGGCTTCACAGGTTTTACTTTTGACCTATGATCCATGTACTTATTTCTAATTTGCAAAGTACCATACATGCATATATATATATATATATAATATATTATATATATATATTTATAATCAAATAAATGCATATGATGGACTTTTAATGTCTATTTAGCTGTCAACACATTCTTTTGATCAAGCTTTAATGTAAATAACTAGACTTTGAGTCACTATTAGCGCCAAATTTTATTCTAAATGGGAAGTCATTCTTTGTTCTAATATATATATATATATATATAAAATAGGTTTGATTGGGATAATTTGAGATAAAAAATTGCTAGAGTTTTGGTGGTGATAATAGTGAAATTTAACTAATGTGTCGCAATTCTCAAGTTTGAGGTTGAAAATTAACACATGTTAATTTTGTTTGTAGTCTTTGAAGCAATCCACATGTCTTAATGCTCTGAAGTCAAGATGGTATATTAAATATTAAATATTAGGTATGTTGATTCTATTTTATCTTATGGAAAAGAAACGCTTATTTGACTAATATTTTTGTTCTGTTGTTGAGAATGCATAGGTTCGATCTAGAGCTTGAGAAATTGAAACTTTGTCATTATGACTTGATTCCTTTGCCTTGAAAAGATTCCTTGTGCTTCAAAATTAGTCATGTGTCATAAATATTTTTTTTGTTTAAAGCAATGAAAAATACGATCGGTAAATCTATCGCAACACTACTACAAAATAAGCTTACAGGAGCGCTTTTTTTTTTTTATCTTAGGGAGCGCTTCAAAAGCGCTCCCGTATCGAGCGCTCTGAAATGTACAGGAGCGCTTAAAAAAGCGCTCCTATATGTACGCTATACAGGAGCGCTTTTCTAAAAGCGCTTCCGTAAGATCCGGTTGTATAGGAGTGCTCTCTATAGGCCTACAGGAGCGCTCCCGTATGCTGCTTACCAGAGCGCTCCTGAATGAGGCGTATGGGAGCGCTCCTACAAAGAGCGCTCCCGTATGCTAACTTACCGGAGCGCTCTCTTAAGGAGTGCTCCGTAAGTTACTTTACAGGAGCGCTCTTTAAATGAGCGCTCCCGTATATTATATTTAATTTTTTTTAAATCAAATTTTTCAAATTTCTCCTTTTACATATCTTTAACAATGGCAAATCATAATATCAAAAACTAATTTAAAAATAATATCAACATAAAAATTTATATACAAGAAAAGAATTTGAAACTGATACAACAATTTCAATTTTCTAACTAACCTAGTTTAATTTCTAACAAGCCTAACAAATGAAACTATTGTTATTTTTTTAACATTGAAATCTAACTTCCTATCACAAACAGCCAATAATATATTCTGACCATTCTTCAACTAAATCTTCTATTTGCTCCATAGTAAAATGCGAATATCTTGCTCCAACAAAATACTACACAAGATATGAAAGCAATATATAAGTAATTAACATTATATTAACTTAATTTCAAAACTTTTGACTTACATTTTCAGGAATGATCAACTCTTGTTGTGTGATTACTTCTCTCATAAACTTCATAACATAGTATCCACACTCCCAACCTTGTAATTGTGTAGGTACCTATAAATAAAACAAAAGATGTTATTATCAAATATGGTAGAAATAAATTCTAACTTATTTAAAATACTTCAGTGATGAAGTTATATAATGATACAAGTATTTGCTGTCGAAAATCCGGCAGAGTCTCCCCTATAACTTGGAAGTTCCAGAATTTTTCAAAATTCTACATCAATCCAGAACAACATATTCAGAATAAAAAACATAAAATATCAATCAAACAATCATTTAGATATGTACCAACTTTTTTTATTAAGAAAATAATACAAACCTTTATTCTTTTCCATGAATAAAACTCAACAGGATCAGGTCTTTTGGTGTTTGGAGGGAGACCTTCACCTCCTCGATAACGTGCTACAGCCCTATTATATAATGATTAAGCATACCAAGTAAAAATTAATTGTTATAATAAACATATATAAAGAATATAGAACTAAAAACTTACTGATTAAATAATATTCTCATAGATTTGTAGTTCTTAAAGTCACTATCTCTTAATGAATCAAGATAATAAATCACAGGGACGAATGGATTGATACAAACAAGCACCCAATGTTGCCTGAAAAAATAAAATATTTCATTAACTAAAATATCAACTAAAGTAAAAATAAACAATAATAACAATTTACCCTGGATTGTGAGGAGCTAAAAATAACATGTTTCTTTTGCCTTTGGCTTTGAATGCATCAGTAATCTTTTGAGAATGGTACTCAACACTGTAGGTACTAGTGTTGTGCGGGCTAATAAATGAAAATTTTGTTATCAATGAGCCCGGCACCACAAAAGTATGATATAAGTACCTAAAATGAAAACAAATAGAATCATTCACAACTAAAATTAAATAAATACCACAATAAGTAATAAAATTGAGAAAGTACCTGATGTATAAACTAATTTGTGTGGTTTGTAGCCAATCCTTGGTCAGAATCTCGTTAATATTTTCAGCTGCTAATTTTTCGCTAATTATTTCACCATAAATCTCTTTTCAAATTCTACTTCACGGATCTCATTTTTAAATGTTGTTCGCATAATCACTTCAAGTTCATTTTGATGAGGATATTTCAACTGAGTAGATTCTGTGCTGGTCTTCCCTGCCTTAGTCACAGAGGTAGATCCTTTCGACGGCTTTCCTTTCGCTTTGATTGGCTTCTTTACAACTTTTTTAAATTTTGAGGACTACAAGATGTAAAATGGATTGGTAAGGCCGTAAAAAAACATGAATGATTTTAAAGAACCATCAATTATTATACCTGTAACTTAATGAGCTTTGAAGGCCAAGCCACATAAGTTCCAACGGCACATCAAATCATGAATATATCCTCATCTTCTATTTGCACTGGCAACTCAGCATCATTTTCTATTGGAATAGTTATAGTCACCTTTAAGTGATCAGCAGGCAACGGTCTGGAGTGTATAATAACACTATTGTCATTATACACAGATCCGAGTGCCACAACACGACAATGTGGTGATTCTAACCATAATTGACATTGAGACTCGCCCTAAAAATTAAAAATTAATATTTTAAAAAAATGTGAAGCATAATTTGTGAATAAAAAGAAGATAATAGAAAGAAAAATTATAACCTTAGGAAAGTCTTCTTTAGTATGGAAGGAGCAACTATCTTTATCACTAGGGCTACCTTGTGGCACATTTATAACTCCAATCATTTGCTCAAATCTCTTTTCCATTTGAGCTTGAAATTTTTTTTCCATTCTCGCCTCCATTTCTGCCATCCTCGCATTAAAATCATCTTCAGTAAAATTTTAGACCGACGTCCAAAGTAGGTGCCCTGAGAAATGCCAAATCCGACTCCTCTAACACGACCAGAGACCTCTGGAGCTCCCAATGCCCTACCAAGGACATCCACATGCTCCCCTACATCATCTTGTGATATTGATTGTGATAATGCTTCCTGTTGAACAAATTAAACTAATTATTAAGTAAATAATGTAAATAAAGTAATACACTAAAATATAATACTCACACAATCCTCCCAGACTTTTCGAGTGCGTTCATCAGGTAATTTTCCTTCTTTATCTTCTCGAGCAGTCTTCCAAACAAGAGCTCGAGAAATTGGAGCATTAGGTCCAACTTCTTCCCTCTATTTAAAGAAGATATTACAATAATTAAAAAACATTTCCTTATATATATATAATAAGTAATCAACAGACGATATTAATTGAAACTTACCAAACCATGTTCAATATCTGGATAGCTCTTTCTTCCTGCTCTATATTGAAAAGGAGTACTTACGGCTCTAGAGCGATTGACCTGGCTGATCTGTTGAAATTCAGGCTGTTGGCGCATTTTAATAAATTCATCCCAATGCTCTTGCTGGATCTCTGGATACATTTTAGGAGGATGAGGATTGAATTCTTCATTTGCATCTTTTAGATGATATGTTGTGAGGGTAGCTCGAAACTTTCTATGAGCATATGCTGCTTTTCTCATGATATAATGCCTATGACTCTCATCCAGGTCAAAAGATATACACAAATCTTCCCATATATTATTTTTTGCTTCTTCAAGCTGTGGGTCATTTTTCTTTCTCCAGTCTGCAATGCAACAAGGAACATAATGACGAGCTAAGACCCCTATGTAACTGGCCAACTGAGGAGACTTAACTAATTGGCCCCTATCATTCCAATTTACTGGTAATTTACGACCAGCTGCTCGAGCCCGTATTACTTGCTTTCATAACAGTTTTACCCCGTTTAACCTCCTTGAATGCTTCTTCTTCAGTGGGTGGAGCATCACCACTATTCTCAGGTGGGGTAGCCATATACCTGAAAAATTTAGCAATAAAAAAAAAATTAACAACTAAAAATAAATTTTTAACAATTAAAAGAAAATTTAAATAAAGAACTTACAAGTGTTAAAATTATTTTTTCTTTTTTTTTTTTTTTTCTTTGTGTGTTCTACATATCCTCATCAATCCAAATCCCTTCAGCGTGATCTTCTCTGATATAGAAGGCATTATCCCCAGTTGAAACATCAAATGTCTGCGATGTTCCCATGAAAGGGTCATCCTCAACATTGAAATCTTCATCCTCTTCATTACCCACTATTTTATTTTGTTAAAAGAACAATCGACCAATTTTTATGCGCTGGATCTGACACATAAAACACTTGTCGAGCTTGTGATGCCAAAATGAATGGTTCATCTTTATAAGCCACCTTATTAAGATCTACTTGAATAAAACCTAACTCGTCAATTCGAAAGCTTTTTATTGTCAACCCACGTGCAACAAAAGACAGGTTCACGAAACTTGATATAATCCAATTCCCAAATGTGCTCTATAATCCCAAAATATGACATCATTGCATAAATTGGGTTCTTGTCTTTAAAACTAGAGACATGCATTGATTGAGCTTTAAGCGTTACACACACTATTTTGCATAGTGCTCCGAGCATCTTGGCTTTTCGTATAAAATGTAAAGTCATTAATTACATAACCTGTATAAGAAAATACTTCAAATCCAGGACCCCTAGCCAAAAACCTCAACCTTTCTGATGGGTGAGACTCCTCAGAGATGCGAGCTCTAAACCAATATATAAAGTGCCGGTTGTGATATGTTGCTAGCCATGTTTCATTTTTACCTTTATTCTGACTCTTAACTATTGCCTTGTGTTCGTTGATATATGGTTGAACTTCCTCAGTGTTGTGTAAAACATACAAGTGAACTTGCTCCCATTGTGTCTTGTCTATGCTAATGAGTTTCTTCCAATGATTCCACCCTGTTCACCTATGGTTTCTTTGTGTACTTTGGCAACCCAATGGCATCCACATTAGAGAGATATCCAGTGCATAATTCAACTGCTTCTTCCATGATGTACCTCTCAACAATACATCCCTCGGGCCGACTTCAATTTTTTACATATCCTTTTAATACTTTCAAGTAACGCTCTACTGGGTACATCCATCTCAAATAAGCGGGCCACACAACTTTATCTCTCTAACTAAGTGAAATGATAAATGAACCATGATGTCGAAGAACGAAGGCGAAAAATACATTTCCAGCTCGCTTAAAATCTTAGCTATTTCATGTTCTAGCTTTGGCAATTTTTTCCGGGTCAATCACCTTGCTACAAATTGCCTTAAAGAAGAAACAAAATCTAGTAATCGTGGCTCGCACCTTCTTCGGCAAAATGGATCGTATACCAACCGGCAATAAATTTTCCATGATGATATGACAATCATGAGTCTTGAGACCTACTAGTTTGAGGTCTTTCATGGATACAAGGCTACTTACATTTGAAGAATATCCTTCTGGCACTTTAACTTCATGCAAGAATTCACAGAAAGCTAATTTTTCCTTTCTAGACAAGGTGTGAGCTGCTGGAGGTAAAAAAGTGTGTTTTCCCTTCCTCTCTGGCCAACTCTTCTCTTAACCCCATGCTAATCAAATCCATCCTTGCATTAATACCGTCTTTACTCTTTCCTGAAATGTGGAGTAATGTGCCAATAAGACTATCGCAAACATTCTTTTCAATGTGCATTGCATCCAGGAAATGCCTAACATCTAAGGTCTTCCAATGGTAGCTCAAAGAATATGGACTTCTTTTTCCAACCATTCTTAACAATCTTACTTGCAAATGGTTTTCCAAATTCAATATTTAAATCTTTGACCTTTTCAAAGAGCTGCTCACCAGTTAATGGCATAGGAACTCTACCCTTCTCCGGGTGGCCATTAAAGGCCTTCTTCAGTCGTCGGTAATGATGTGTTTGCGGCAAAATCATCGATGACCAATGAAGACATTCTTCCTACAATGTTCCAACCACACTGAACAAGTGTGCTCTCACATACTGGACATGCATCTCGTCCTTTGATACTGTATCCTGATAAATTGCCATAGGCAGGAAAGTCATTTATGGTGCCAAACAACATTGCTCGCAGGATGAAATGTTCTTCTCTATACCCATCATAAACTTCCACACCTGTCTCCCACAAAATCTTCAGATCTTCAATCAAAGGAGCTAAGTACACATCTATATCATTTCCTGGTTGTCGAGGCCCAAAAATCAACAATGACAGCATCATAAATTTGTGCTTCATGCACAATGCTGGAGGGAGGTTGTAGATCATCAAAATAACCGGCCATGTACTATGAGTACTGCTTTGCATGCCATGTGGGTTCATTCCATCAGTGGCTAGTGCAAGGCGTAAGTTTCTATCTTCAACCCCAAACTCAGGGTATATAAGATCAAACTTTTTCCATTGAGGAGAATCTGCAGGGTGCCGTAGCTTGCCATCCTTAATTCTCTCATCAGCATGCCATGTTAAGTGTTTAGCATCTTCTGCAATGCTGTATAGGCGTCTAAATCTTGGTATGATTGGAAAATACCACAATGCCTTCGCTGGGCTACATCCATTTCTTTTGTACCGTGATGCATCACATTTTGGACACTTATCTAAGGTTGAATACTCTTTCTGAAAGAGGACACAATCATTTGGACATGCATGTATCTTCTCATAGCTCATCCCAATAGAACAGAGCACTTTTTTAGCTTCGTAAGTATTAGGTGGAAGCTCGTTGTACTCAGGTAACATTTCATATAAGAGTTCAAGCAAATCTGTGAAACTCTTATCGCTCCATCCATTCGCTGCTTTTAGGTTGTATAGTTTCAAAATAACTGATAGTTTTTGTGAATTTTTACAACCGGGGTATAATGGTTTATCAGCATCACTCTTCAATCTCTCAAACATCTCAGGACAGTCCCTAAGATCTCTTCAATCACATCAATCATTTCATCAAGACGGTCAACATCATATATCCCACTATCACGATCAAATGTTGAGTAGCTCGCACTATCCCTCCAATCACTTGCATTATTCCTTGTCTCCCTCATGCATGGTCCAACAAGTATAAGTTGGATCAATCCCATTACATATTAAATGATCTTTCAATTCTATTGG